TATATATATATATATATATAATAACAAAATATATATATAATATTATATATAATATAAAATGTAATTATATATTATATTGTATTGTTTTTATTGCGTCCCAAAGAAATATAATTATTAAGTAAGCCGATAAAGAATGTCAAAATTTTTAATATAAAAAATACTAGTTGTTTATGTAGATATAAAAAATGATAAAGTAATTCAGTAAATCAAATAATACTCCATAATGTTATTTATTTAAATATAAGATAGCAAATATTTTTCCAATAAAACTATACTAATAATAATACGTAACATTTATTTCAATTCTAATATGTATTTTATTTTGTTAACAGCCTTGCCTAATTGAAAAAAAATAGATCCTTTACGATTACAAATGGAAAGATGGCAGGCTAACTATGAATTGAGAAGTTATCGTAGAAAAGTTCCTCAAACCCGTAAAAAAAGTTTAATAATAACAATAGTTTTATTTATATATTTAGATATAAAATAGCAATAGATTATTATTATTTAAATAAGAAATGCAGTAGTATCTATTATTTATATTTTTTAAAATTATAAGCATAATTGAAAAAAAATATTGATTATAACAAATTTCAATTAAGCACACACTTCTTTTCATATTATTCATAATAATAAAATTTAACATATTTATACCTTAGAAAAACATTAATCGATTCATGAACATTTATTAATATTTTTAAATCAATTCAAACGACGCAAACCCTTAAATATCTCCAAATAAAAATAAATAGACTTATGCTACTTTAAAAAAGAAGACAAACTCATTCATCCGTATGAATATGTATATACATATATAATTTAGTCGTAAAATAAATGTTTATATTCGTCATTTTAAAAGAATCGATATTTATTGTTCATTATTTTCTCTTATCTTTTTTAACGAAGAAGACTTATCGCGCGCGCGCCATCGTTTTTCAAGTATTAAGGCAGGCGACACATATAAAATAAAATAAAAATCGAATTTTTTTTTTTCATAAATAGTTAGTTTACCATCTTAAAAATATGCCTGTAAATTTTTAGAATGAAATTCGCATTATTTATCGATTAAAAATTCATTGAAGTGCTCCGCCTAAACTCGGCGCTAGATACGAACGCTAAACTTTGAACGCGTTTTTCTCGAAACGACTTTTTTCAAACTGTGATGAAAGATAACTCAAAAAAGTTTCAACCGATTCTTATGAAATTTAGCACACATTTTCTTTATAGTATTAGCTTCTAGTTAAACTTTAAGAATGCCATAAAAATTTTCAAAAATTGCCATTTTTGACCCAAAAACCGTAAAAAAAAAAGGGTCAAAAATCAGACTTTTTGTCTGAGTCGTGCCAATTTACGATTTTCTGACTTTTTAGTTTTTCTTTAGTATAACTAGAAGATACATGTTTTATGAACATGCTCCGACCCTTTTTTTTAACGGTTTAGGGCCTCCGGAAATTAGTTACTACGGCGGTAATTTTGAAACAAAAAAAAATCAGATTCTTATATTTTAATATGTAATAAATAAACATGCTGAGTTTCAAAACGATTCATTTATTCCTTCCATTTTAAATAAGTCTCTGAAAAACGGTCAAAATTTAGGCGTTTACATGTATCGCCGGCCTTAAAAAGTTTACTAAATAGGAAAGAAAAAACTAATTGTAAAACAGGAAAAAAAACAACTCGGAAATGATGTGGCGAAGGACGCGAACGATAATGCATTCCTGTTATCGGAAGTATAAATTTTAATGGGTGACTTTCGATTTTAACTCGCCGTACAGGCTGAAAGAAACGTAAGGGTGAGCTGGCTGAATCGTTGGAAGGATCTGGCGAAAGACAAAAAGTAAAGACGAGAAAAAGGGAAAAATCGAGAAAGAGCGGAACGACGGGGAAGATCAAGGTCTTTTAACTGTAAAGAGATTGCGTCATTCATGTGGTGCACAGTGCAAGTAGCCAGTAGCCGAGGATCACATGTGACGTCAGTGCCATTAATGTTCAACGTTCAACGTTTCAGCAATGAGATAAAGGATTTCAAACAAATGTCGTTCATTAAAATATATACTTTACATACAATTTATTCCTAATACTAATATATATATAGTATTATGTATATAAATGCATACATATAAATATTATATGTATTTATACAAATACTATATATACTGTATATATACTATATATATAAATACTATACGTATACATATAAATATTATATGTATATATATAAATACTATATATATATGAGTTTTTTATTACTCATTGATTTATTTATATTATACATTTATATTATATATTTTTAAAAACTTCCTTGGAAGCTTAATAAGAAAAATAAAATCAAGATGAAATCAAAGTTTTATTAATTTATTTATCATTTACATTAATTACTTAATCGAGCAATCCAAATGGATTCAAGTATCGCAAGTGGAATCTATAAATAGAATCAAAGAATGCTTTCATGCTATAGGCTTTTATCTGAGGACTCTTACAGAAACTAACCTATATAGGAGAAAATAATTGATACAAAAAACTTCATATTTGCGACTGCAACAAATACAGTATTTGTATCGAAACAGACTATCTATATTATTTTACCTATTATGTGTGTTTATATATAAAAGTTACAAATATAAATCTGATTAACAAATGTAACTACCGATTCTTACATTATTCCTTCTTTCTATCATTTCATAATTCTTATGTTAGTAAATATTTAATACTCATGAATCAATATATAATTGATAAATTATTCTATTAAAAATACAGATTAACTTAATATATTAAATAAGATCCTACTATAATAAAAAAAAAACTTTACATATCAATAGATATTGTAAACAACTGTCAGACTTTTTTAACAGTATACAAATATATGTAGTATAAGGAATTGTTGTAGATAGATAGAAAGAAAGATACATATTAGTAAAGTATAGGATACGCATGTGAGAAGCGTGGGAGGAAGAGGAGGAATGGTGGGGGAGAAAGAAAGATAAAGAAGGAAAGGAAAGGAAAGGAAAGAAAAGGAAAGGAAAGGAAAGGAAAGGAATGGAAAGGAAAGGAAAGGAAAGAGAGAGAGAAAAAGAAAAGAGGGACAGAAATAAAGTATTTAGAATCCTACGTCACGCCATCGTCCAATAAAAGAAAAAAGCAGATGATCGTGGAAAAGGGTGAGACACTTGACAAGTAAAAGATTACTCACCAAGACTTTGGTAAACCGCCTTTCAAGTTCTACAGCATCCGGCATCGGTTGTCTTGGTGCACCACGGACGCTGCCACTTTTCGCATGTAATCCAGCCAAAGCTCCGATACCATGACTTGTTGGCTGATAAGAATGCTGAGAGGATCCGTCTTTGATAGTCCCATGAAATACTTCCCTTACACCGGCGTCACTTTCATTGCTATGACTTTGCACGCTACCCATTGTTTCTAATTTCTTAAATATGTCACACTCGAAAAGAAGAATAAAATACATACATGTGTGTATACTATATAATATATATATATTATATATATATATATACGTGTGCGTGTACGTGTACGTGTGTGTGTATGTATATATGTATTTATGTATGTATGTATTAACACGAGCGCACAATGTTCGGCACTAACGCACGATCTTACAAAAACATCTTGTAAATAAACACAATCCAAAAATAATGTGTACTATTTCTGTCAACAACGAAGAATGATGGTCAGTAACAATAACAGCGACGGCGACGACGACGACGACGTTCACGATACTTCCTCATTCTCGATCGCTTAAAACTATTTAAACTTTATCTAGAATGAGTAATAACGAGAAATAAACGCTTGTAATCGGTTATCGTTGATTCGTGCAACAGGTATCGAGCAATCCATCGTGAACACAATTCCCATGAACTTAGAAACTCGCGTGAGACGAATCACTCTGTATTCAACACCACGACATCTGCGATAGCCTCGTCAAAGGGGAGGGGGACGGACGGACACTCCCGTCTTACTTAAAATCTTTGATATTCCGACATTGGCGCCATCTTCCTCGATATTTTATCTTTGCTGGTATTAAACTTTGATTCGATTATTTCGATGTTCGATACTTTGTTAGGAAAGAAAATTTAAATGCAGTTGCCTCCTTACAACAGGCGAAAATCATTGAGATTACTTTTTTCATATATCGGGATATATAAAAATTTAAAAATTATAATTGCTTTAATTGAGCATTTAATTATTTTCTTGATCATTACCAATCTCTTCTCTTTTTATTTTTCATTACTACGTTTTAAAGAATAGTTTACAGAAAACAAATATTTTCTATCTTTAAATTTATTGTAAATTATATTTTTTTAAATGTTTACAAAGAACGATTTTCTATAATTTATACAATGAGTAACAGGAGTTTCCTTTGCGGCAGCATGAACTTTGATCTTTTTTGAAGAAGAAAGGGTTCACTTAAAATGATTATTCAGTAAATAGGAAAACACGAAATAAATCTTTAATAATTGGAAAAAAAACACGATACAAAAGAAAAAAATAACAAATCTTCACACTTATCGAATATTAATATTGCACTCATAAATATAACTTTCATTCAAAAAGTCTAAACGATTAATTAATTAATTAACATTAAAAAATATTACAATTAAAATAGGATATCTTTGAAGAGAAAAACAATCAAATAATAAACTAGATAAAATATTATATCTATTTTATATACGTAATTAAGCGCATTGAAGTTAAATCATATATTTACAAATATTAGCGACTTAAGGTTTATGCTTTTTTTTTTGACAACAGTTGAATTAAAAACAATTTTTTACATTGAAACGCATAATAAATAGCACTTTTTAAACGAATATAAATTCTTATTCAATTAAGTGCACTTTGAAAAAGAATACAAATAACATTCTTAAATATGATACAATGTATTTAAATCTAACAATAAATTTATTATGCGACGCTTTTCTGTATTATTGGCACATGATTGGAGTGTGATGTTCTGATTATTCCATTCAAAAGTTTTCAAATAATAAGGAAAATTAATTAGAAGTACGGATTAAAATTTAACAGAATTAATGAATTTATTAAAAATTTCATGTACCTTAAACATATTGTTCAAAATAAAGACAATAATAAATTATTCATGTCCACAATAGGTACTGACAATTCTCCTAACAATCTCTATCTCTCTCTCTCTCTCTCTCTCTCTCTCTCTCTCTCCCTCTCTCTATAGGAAAAACATTCACGAAAGTTAAACAAATATCTAAATATCATATCAACTGTATAAAGATGTGCAACAATCAATATGCTTATCATTGTAATTTACACGATCACAAAATCGACGTTCACACTACACAGTACGTGAGAGATTAAAAAGTATGGAATTAGCAATATTTATTGGGCAATATTTTGTTCCGATCAAAGATTACAAATAATTGATCAAAACAAGTGAGATAAAAATATAATTCTACAGAATATAGATTTTACACATATCTAAAAAGTTATTGGTAATCTTTGTAGGTAGACATATTAAAAATTAACAACTATTGACAATTAACTGACAACATTATCATATAATTGAATATCAGTGTAAATGAAAAATATTCAATTGAATTGGAATAAAATATTGTCCAATGCTGAAAAATAGAGTGTTATGTGAATGTTACATTCCCTTATAAGGTCATTTTTATACAACACATATCACTTGATAATCTCCAACTATCTTTATGAGCTCGGAATTGAAAAATGATCAAGAATCACCTTCAATGACGATATCTAAGACTATACGAAGTTTAAATAGTGTTTTCAAAATGATAGAAAATAATTCTTTATAAAACACTAAGTCTCATTGATACTATGAAAAAAAATGCTTAAGTGCTATTATTAAAAGCGTAAGTAGGCAGTGCAGTGTTAAAACAAAATTTCTATCATTCTAAAAATCATAAATTATTTTCAAACATAACACACAACAAAGTACGATAATTACTTTTGTCTTATCATTGCAATCTGCATAGAGTAGAGTTTTCTGTTTCACTGTATTTCGCACATCAGTCACATATATATATAAAGCATATTATAATATTAGTACAATAGCACTTTAAATGAATCGTTGTGATTTTTTATCTTTGTGTCTTGATAAATAAGCTTCCTTCAATGTGACAAAAATTTGAGACTAGGCTTCTAGCTGAAATACAAAAAATTAAAGAGTGTTGCAATCATCAATAATGACAATCGCTTTATTTAAACAATATGATATGCACCCATAACATACTTTAACATTATCACAGCATTTCTGTTTATCAAAGTTTTCTTCAATACACATGTAAACATATTTGTTAGATTTATAAATGAAATGGGGAAACAATAGATCAAATATTAAAAACATACTAATATTATTAAAAACGTGATTTTAAATATAAAACTAAATGTACTTGTGTAGAAGATATTTCAATGAATCTACAAAATAATTTCTAGATGTAATCTTCAACTGGAGATGATTGTAAGTTATTTAAAAAATAGCACCGATAAATTATCTCAGAAGTTCAGAAGTTAGCAATGAATTTTAAAAAGGACAATATTTCTTTTCATTTGGCATATGGAGATAAAAATTGCAATAAAGAATGATAAATATATAATTAATAATATGTAATTATGTATTTTAATACAAGTTAATGCGTCATACATGTGTTGGAAAAAATTGATCTCTTTACTACTTACAATTCCATCTATAATAAGTTCAGAACACCCATACAAAGGGAATAATTAAATTCTTTTCTTCAAGGTATAAAGGTGCAAAAAATCGCAGAAATACGATTATCATCAGAATTTCTAAACTTATGCAAGTCACCTCGTGGGTAATTATGCGATTATACTAAAGCTTTTTCTACTATATAAATAATGATTTTTGTCATTAGGAAGCACATTCATCCATCTCTTAGGCCGATGGCTGAGCACTTGATTTTTAAAGAGTAATGTATTAGCGCAGATTGTTTTCTTTTTTTTAAGGGTTCAATGAATCTATGATAAAGCTGCCGATAGTAACATCAAATCAATAATATGCAGCTTTTACATAAATTTACATTTTTTTCAAGGTATTGTTTTACGTTTCTTTTATGTGCTGATTTTTTGTATTTAAAATTATGTATAATTTGAAAATCGCAGTTCACACCACATTATTGATATGAGGTAAAATTCTCACTGATTAGACAGACGTACGTAGAATATATTCAATTTTCTAACTTGTACTCTACCAGACATTAAATTACCCATCGAATGTTTTCATCCATAACATTGATTGATCTCAGCGAATCGACCTATTAGCTATTATGGACTATTAAAAAGAATCTTAAACAATTTCTAAACTGACCTTTCACATCAACTCCTTGTCATTTTCTTAATAATCCATTCTCTGTTGTTTTGTTGATATACTGTCTCAAATTAAATGATCAGTCTTTCACTCTTTTAATCACACACTTTGTGGGAAATTTGTAATCCTACATTTCACACTATTAAAACATAGCACTTTAGCGAGTATTAATATATCGTTTATAAATTTAAACAAATTGACAAGAGATTTTATGTATGTACTCAACACTAAACATGCACAAAATGAGCACAAATATACAGATTCAAATGCCAGTATATGGGAAAACAAGCTTTCCACCAAAGTGTATATTACAAATTGGGAACATTTGTATACAATTTCACAGTAGACAAATATCTCACTAGATTAACTCATGTTAATTCAGGGGCTGAAGCTACATCGATAAGTCCCGTATTTAATATCAAATGATTGCCAACTTTTGTCTTGGGTAATGAAATGACAATTATACAGACTAATGCTGCAATCTATGAAGGCCAAAAAAGTCGTACACTTAAACTTAGCCAACAGGTATTTCTGTTGGCTAAATATAATAAGCTACGCTGTATTCATATAAACTTATGAATTTGCTTAATCTCCCATTTTCATAGATAACTGTCAGTAACATTATTGGTATTATAGCAATGACAAGTGCAAACAGTGCTTGCTTATTGTTTGCGCTTAAAACTCATGTAATTCGAGAGCATCTAGTTTCTTGATGTTATCCTCTTATTATCATATAAGAGGTCTGAATTATTATAAAGGCCCTGAGAATGAGACAGTCTCTAATTGTAACTGCCTCTTTCAGTGCTAGCATACTATTTATTTGCATTATGATGCATACTAAGTCATTGTATGACCTGGAGGTTAATACGGCGCATTGAACAATCATACTTTTCCAATCAGAGTTAAGATCCAAGATTCTTATAGACAATCACTCTTAAGTGAAGGTACGATGTTTGAATGGAAACAGATGAAACACTATATTCTTTCTCCAGTAGAATGCATGCCACATTTATAACTGATTTTGGAATAATAGTATATGTACTAATACTCCATATGTTTATTGTGAATCCAAAACTCCAATTGGGATGTTCACATGAATAGACACTTCAATCTTAGTTATTGTCCCGTTAACAGTGATGTCTCTCACCACGATGATAAGTCCAAAATTTTTAAAAGTCTGATCTAGTAATACTACTCTTCTTCTTTAACAAAATTAGTATTTCATGATTTGTCATTTTCAAATTTGATCACTTCCAGACTAAGTGGCACTACAATAAGGTTCTAAGATGTAAAACCATTATTCACACTTTATATAAACGAATAGAAGACAATAATATAATATAATATGATATATTATATATATATATATATCTTCTATTAAATCTTGAATTAAAAAGTGATAATCCACAATATGAAATTCCACCAACTACGTGGATGGTATGCTCTTCTTATCAGAATTGAATTCAAGTCATATATATATAGAATAAAGAATTTTCTTTAGATGAAGCTATCAATCTTGTATGACTTAGTCTAACAAGTGCGGATGTTTTGCTTAATCAAGTTTGATTAGTCTCAGCTCTTCAACACTAAATTGATTGTAAGACTTGATGTGACCTAAGTTAACAAACTTTCAGTAGTTATAATAACAGTTGAAGCATTTGTAATAATCAATACGGTTCTACTTTCAGACTTACGGGGCTATTGCTGTTTTAGCCATCTATTTATTTAATTGAGCACTTCTTAGCTGTCAACAATATGGGTGAGAAAGTTGACAAGAATGAAAAAGATAATACGGAGTGACCCACGGTGGGCATTTCCGTTATCAGAGAAGAGATCATCCGTGGGCAATATCAGAAGACGCAAGTGCAGTCTTCCGAAGCCCTGGCCTACCTAGCCCTCTTCCTGTTTAGTTTGGCCAATTTACGTCGTTTTAATATCAATTGATAAAGAGTGTCCAGACCTTCGTGTAAACCTTCCCCTGTAATAGCACAAGCAGGCTGCACCCTTATGCTAGAACTACCAGGCATCCCAGCCAATTCCGAGACACCAAGTTGCTTTTCCAATTCACTCACTTCTTTAGCACCTAAGGACAAAATTGTCGTTGTGCAATTATATATCAAAATAATTCAATTCTAAACTAACAAAGTTTACCCAATAAATCTTGCTTATTAGCAAGAATTAAAATGGGCACACCCGCATTATCAGGACTCCTAACTGTTTTTGTAAGTTCCATTTTTGCTTCTTCAAGTCTTTCAGCATCGCAAGAATCAACAACAAAAATAATGCCGTCTGTGCATCTGGTATATGACTTCCACAGAGGTCGTAACTTTTCCTGTCCACCTACGTCCCAAACTAAAAAATTTACTCCTAGGACATTTAATAATAAATATTAAAATATTATAAATATATGAAAATGAATAATCTCTTAATTGTATTGGTTGATAAATAAAATATACCTTTTGCTTTACCAATGCCACCACGAATTCTTTCACAATTAAAACCAATGGTCGGTACAGTATTCAAATATTGATCAAATTTTAATCTATAAAGGGCAGTTGTTTTTCCTGCGCTGTCAAGACCTAGCATAGCTACATGAAGCGGCGTTCCTGTGGGAAGAGCCTCAAGCAGACCACCTCCACTGGTGCTGCTTCTGCCCAACCCAGCACCCATTCCTTTCTACCCACCTTTTCCAAATTTTTAATCTCTTGATTCTCCTTTTGAAAATTGTGCTTCTTATCCTGTCCTACTTTTATCAAGCATCTACACAATTGCTTCGCTCCTCTTCTGATATCAAACTTTAATTTTTTCTTATACTATGTTTTCTATGTTGATGATACGTTGTTAAAACATCTTTCTTCTATTCTTCTCATTATTTTTATCTCATCAAAGAGAAGTTTTTTTTGAGGCCAATGAGTACTGTACCACCTGAAATAAAAAAAAAAATAAAACAGTTATCGTCACATTTTTAATAAAAGAAACATTATAAAATAATTATAAATAAATAATAATTAATTTATAAATCTACTCTAATACTAAAATAATTAACTCACTTACATCTTTTGTTATTTTTATGTTTTTCTTTTATCAAATTATCTTCTTGAACCTTTTAGAAATCTCTTTTGTCAATCAACCTCTTCTTTCTCCTTATTTTCCTTCTGTGAACGATACAAATGCTATATTAATATTTTCATATATACATTTGTATATTAATACTTTTCAAACATAATAATACAATAAATATGAACAATAATTAAATTTTTATATGTCTCTTAATTGGTGTAACATTTAAATACCTTCTATTTTTAAGAGAAGAAATAAGAAAAAAAATAAAATAAACAAACGAAATAATCGAGCGTCTGGGAGAGCTAATTACTCAACGACATTAATTTCTACATTCGTAATCGATCATCTATCTTAATATTAAAGCACTCATTGAATATATTTCTAAAAATTTCTCTTATTACGTAATTTGACGCATGTTTATTTGATACTCACTAGCTCATCTGTTCATGGAACGTATCCAAATCTATATAATACTTAGGAGGCCGTCGTCCTGAAAGGTCGCACAGTAACACATCACATCGACTTTGACATACTTCTCATCGAACTTGAAAGACCGATCATAATAATCATAAAATAACTTTAAATATCTTTACTTACTGCCTTACGATGTTATTAGCCTATTTTACTTCTATACATTGTATATGTACATTCTTATCAATAAATAATTACTTGTCACCAATATAAAAAGAAACAACAAAACAATCGAGGACCGGTAAACGTCGATACGTCCCCAAAAACTTGTGCACAATCAACGACTTTATTACTAATAGACCGACCAATAGCATAACCCATTTAGCAAGAAGATTTTTTAACTAAGTCGTATGGTGGCAGCACTAGTTGTCACCAATACGAGAAATAAATGCAATAGCCACGAAGCTGGATAACAGGAGAGCGCACGCAATGCTTTAGAAATGTACGAAAATGACGGGACAGAATTTTGCCACTAGAGCGCGTTAGTGTAACTAGGATCAGGTTTTTAAAACCTAGTTTATTGTCGCAGAAATTTAACTATTGTACTCACGCGTTAAGGCAATAAGAAAAAATTGTTTATTATTTTACAATTATTTCCAAGATATTATCCTCAACTTGTTATGTAAATCTATTCAATTTCATCTTACCTAGTTGCAGTTGAGTAAAGGATGGAAAACTAAATTTAAAAAGTTCAATTAAAAGTAAATAGTAATTTATTATCGTAAATTGCACTTTTTACAAGACTAGAAATTTCTATAGTATAAGTAGAGTTAAAAAACATTTGCATCATTGCATTTTTTTATATTAGTAATTAATAACTATCAATTAAGGTTATGTTACTCGTGATACAGTGTATAAAGACGTATTTCTCTGATTTAATTTAGCATTCTTATTACGATCCTTGACTCGTCCACTTATACACTCATGAACAATACATTTCCTTACCATTTTTAAATAAATATTACTTTTTATAAATTAAAAAAACAATATTATATTATAAAAAAATTGTTAATGATGCAGTTTGTCAACAATTGTCAATGAAAAATATGACATCATAAACCTGACTTCAGCGAACATAACGAAACCTAGCAGCGTATTTCCGAAAATAATATTTTCTTTCCATTCGTATTTGCTAGTTATTTTCTAGGGACCCTTTTCAGGGTCTCTACTCTGTATATGAAAAGTGTCCGTCGAAATGCATTCAATTAGGGTGAACAAATGATATTTTAAAATATTGTTAATTATAAGCATTGAAGTATTTTAGAAATATTTTTTACTTTTGTATTTATTACAATTTTACAAAAGATGTACAAATTATAATAAAAATATAAGCAAATTACAACGATTTTTATTATGTTTTTATAGCCAAAATTAATGTACAATTTTTAAATTGGTTTTTTATACATTATATTTAATTACAACTGAATAAACCAACATTCTTCATTTTCACAAATTAATGAATTTCAGAAAAAATATCTATTATTATTATTAACTAGCATTAGGAACTCGAAAGTTCATTGCCGCAAATACCAAATCCCGCCATTGTTCCCGTCCCTGAACGCGATCCTTCCACATTCGCGGTCTTCGTATCCTATTTCTTTCAGATCTCTTCTATCTCCAATATTGGTCGGTTTGTTGTACAAATTATAAAATATTTTTTACAATTCCACCAAGATAATTCACGTTTACAAATACAATTCTTTGAATAATGATTCTCTACGGCCTTGATTGTTCTGGTTGTCAATATTTCCAGAAGGGTTTTCTTCAATATTAGATTCACTATTATCTGCCCAACCGTCTTCAATATCTTTATCATCAATATCATCATTTTCATCGACGCAATAATTATGTAAAATACAAGCTGCGAGTACTGTATCTGTAACGAAACTTAAATCTCTATATTCAGAGAACAATTTTATTCTACGAAATCGATCTTTTAACAATCCGAATGATTTTTCAACAGCCATTCGAAATGGTGGCACAAGCCATCGTAAAGATGGATACGCTGAATCACCAATTAGAAATGTATTATTTGGAAATAACATTTCTTCATTTTCAATTGTTAAATGGTATAAAGATGATCTTCTAAATACACGAGCATCATCTAAGGAACCTGGTTCACCGCAGTATACGTTTGTGAATCGTGTGTGAGAGTCCACAACAGCTTGTAAATTCATAGAACAATATTTTTTACGATTAAAAAAGTCATTTCCGTTTTCTGCAGGTTTTTCTATACGAATATGAGTTGAATCGATTGCGCCTAAGATATTTGGAATTTGCTTTTTAGAATAAAATCCATTACATATTGTTAAAACTCCATCATTGTTTTCAGACCATTTTACAACATCATCTAATTTAGTTAACATCCATGCTAGTACACGGCGTAAAACTCGATGAACTGATGACATGGAAATATCAAAACGATCTGCAATTGTTCTTAATGGTTCTGTATTTGACAAAAACCATAAAAATATTAAAAAACATATTTTTCCATTGATAGGTGTTTTTCCAAAATTATTTTTTGGTACAAAATCTGAATGTTGTAGTTCATCTGAAATAGAATAATTAAAATGAAGTAGAAAATGAATTAAAAGTGAAAAATGTATTAGAAATATAAACACAGTATTGATGCCTTCTGAAATAAAATGAAGTATTTATTGAAATATTAATATAAAGCGTATATTGTAAGAGAAAAATGAAAAAGTTAGTTAATACAGTACAAT